CCGACCGTCCATGCATACCCCGGTAGCAAAGATATCGCATGACGATATGCGGAAAGGTCTGGAGAACCAAGATTCCCGTCGATTTGGTCGTACTCCAAAGAACAAGTTTGTGAACAAGGCCGTTGGCGCTCTTCTCCGGTCCGTTGAATGCAGCTCGTCGTTTGTGTGGGGCAGCAATGCCGAACGTCGAATGCACCGTCGAGAAGCCTTCGCCACGGCCGATCGCTTTGGCCAGCCAAGTCTGATCACGCCAAACGTGGACGGAACAATCACTTTGGCGTATTTGGCAGGAGGCATCCAAGTCAAGTCGCTTTTTGATGTGCAGTACCTCAAGTACATGCCTGACAAAGCAACCATGCAACAACTGGCGATGAACGACAACATGGCGTCCGCTACTTTTTTCGATCGAAGCATCGAGGCGTTCATCAAAGTCGTTGTCGGTTTCGACAAGTCTACCGGCCAACCAAGAAAGACTGGTGGGCTATTCGGCCATGTCAAGGCGTACTTTGGAATGGTTGAGACCCAAGGTCGAGGGACGCTTCACTTGCACCTTCTTGTTTGGGTTTATGGCGCTCCACGTTCCACGTCCGAGTTCGAGGCCCGATTGCAGGCAGATCTCAACTATGAAGCGATGGTGCTGAAGTACTCTGAGGGCATTGTGTCCAATTCTTTCGCTGCCCATTGACCTCCTTCAGACCCGCTGTAAGACGTGTGAGCATGCGGATACCAAGTATGAAGCGCTCAACCCTCCCTTGACAGCCTTCGAAAAACCTCGTCGCTCAGAAGGCGTCCTTCCGAAAGAGCCGATTATGGCCAAATGTGGACATTGCAACACGATGGTCAGCTCCCAGCACTTGGTTCGGCAAGCCCTCCTGCATTCGAGGCCTAAAGTGTGGCCAGTGGAGTTGCCCAAGCTTTCGCAGTCTGCAATTGACAAGTACTTGGACGAGGAAGCAGTGTTCTTGAAGTCAACGGCCGGAAAGAAGTATGATCCCGAGCGAGCACATGACCACATACGTTCGAGCTTCCAGGCATACCTAGAAGGCACTGTCCACATGGAATCCAACGTCGACTATCAAGAGCTTCTGGCTGGTGCGCGAGCAAATCTCGAAGAGTCCAACACAGCGTCGAATACGTACGGTGCACCGGACAAAGACACTTTTTGTCTGGACCCCATCTACCGCGAGCTGTCAAGCATGCCATTTGGGCCAAATGAGACCCGACTACCCGACGAGACGGTGTTATTTGTCATTGCTGCGTTGGCATCCGTGTTGCAGGTGCATTGGTGGTCGTATTGCGCTTCGTGCTTCAAACAAAGCCGCAACAAAACAGCTGCACAAATGTGCCGATATTTGTTCCCTCGGGCCCGAGTTGAAGTTGGTCGCATTGGCACCTCTGCAATCTTGCTCGTGAGGAAGCTCGGCGAAGAGTACATCAATGGATACAGCGATGTCATCCTTCGTGCTTTCAAGTGCAATCACGATATCCACGCCCAAGTTGCAATGGTACTTTTCAAACCATTTCGTGTGTTGTCGGATTTGCGCCCACACGGCTCAACATGGCATGAAGCGTGGGAATCCTTTCAACCCACGATGAGCACTGGTTCTGCGGAAGTGTACCATTTCATGCAAGACTACCATGTCGGTCGAAAGAAGGCCGCAAAAACAAGAACGTCCAGGGAGGAAGAACAGAACATCCAAATGGAAAACGACGATGGTCGCACTGAGCCTGATGACTTCGACGACATTGACTTCGAAAACGCACTTCTGTTTGCCAGCAGACATCCAGCAACCAGCCACTTGGACTGTGATGTTGCACGTGAGACCACGTCGGAATTGTATCAAGCAGTATCATCGTCGGAGATGAGCAACCAAGTCAAGTTTCCAACAACGACACCCATTGATGCGGATATCGCAGCATTGGTTGGTGGTCAGTTCCTCGACGAAGCGTCAACAACAGCATCCTCAAGTTACATGTCCATTTTGGGTGCTTGGGACCAGCGACTTCGTTACCGTGAGCAGTTTGCGTCAGATGTCAAAGGTCAAAGGTCTAAAGTCATGGACGTCGAAAAAACGCGTGGAACGAGTTGTTACGTTTGAAAACCAATCCCGTGTTGAAGAAAGCAGCGAGGCATCGGTGGCTTGGTGTACAGACCCGCCTGGCGAGATTCCAACGCTGATCCAAGTCAACGTTCCGGGTGCATTGGATCCATCAGCGATGTTGTACACTGGCAACCTGGTTGAGAGGGGCAAAGTACCTCAAACTTTGCCCGATTACGCCCACATCGGTGTTGTTTCGAGTGCTTTTGGCCTTCGTATGCGCCAATACTTGAGCTTCACATGTATTGCACGTGCTCTATTGCAGCGATGGCAACTTGAAGATAATGGAGATCACGATACACGAAGTGTCGCCACTGCAACGAGCGCCATACAACTACGAATGGTTCTGCACGGTGAAGGGGGTACTGGAAAGTCGCATGTCATCGCTGCTGTGCAAGCGTTTTGTAACTCGTGGAAGAGACCATTCAGCATTGCCAAAACCGCAATGACTGGCAAGGCCGCCGTCTCAATCAACGGAGTTACGTTGCATATCTGGATTGGTATGC